AGAGAGAGAGAGAGAGAGAGAGAGAGAGAGAGAGAGAGAGGAAACAACCAAAACAACAACAAAAAATCCAGAAGTACATTGTTCCCAAGGTTTAACCCTTGGGTCACTTTGAACTTTAATCAACATTTCCCATTAGAATCTAGACATTTTCTTATCTAATTCATTGCATCCCCTCCTTCTTGTCCTTCCTTGACTAGTTATTAAACACACTTCCTTCTTGATCATTTTTGTGGTTGCCTCTTCTATTTTAACCAAAATAAGCCATCCCACAGAAAACAATAAAAACAAACTAGATGAAAGCCTGCTTCCTCCCTTAGTCCCTCTGGCAGGAAACTGTTCCGCTTATCCAGGACCCATTTATCCATATTTAGACCTCCAAATTGTTATAACATATAGACAATGGTTATTTTTCCCCTTAGAGAGAAAGAAAGGTGTTTTTAAGATATTATAATAGCCCAGGTGGTGGTGGTGCCTGCCTTTAATCCCAGGACTTCTATGAGTTTGAGGCCAGCCTGGTATACAGAGTGAATTCCCGGACAGCCAGGGCTACATAGAGAAACCTTGTCTTGAAAAACAAAACAAAGATATCGTGATAGCAACTCTTCCTCTGTTTCTGGCCTCTTTTCAGGCAAGCCTGAAGGCAAAGCTACAGATAAGGGCAAGCTCACAGTGAAGAACACTGGGTTACAGCGCTCCTCTTCTGATGCTGGTCGGGACCGCCTGAGTGATGCTAAGAAGCCTCCATCGGGCATTGCTCGCCCCTCTACTTCAGGATCCTTTGGCTATAAGAAGCCGCCCCCTGCTACTGGCACAGCTACTGTCATGCAGACAGGTGGCTCAGCCACCCTCAGCAAGATCCAGAAATCCTCAGGCATTCCTGTCAAGCCAGTAAATGGGCGAAAGACGAGTTTAGATGTGTCCAACAGTGCAGAGCCGGGGTTTCTGGCTCCTGGAGCCCGGTCCAACATCCAGTATCGAAGCCTGCCCAGGCCAGCCAAATCCAGTTCAATGAGTGTGACTGGTGGGCGGGGTGGACCTCGCCCTGTTAGCAGCAGCATTGACCCCAGTCTCCTCAGCACCAAGCAGGGAGGCCTTACACCCTCCAGACTGAAGGAACCTTCCAAGGTTGCCAGTGGTCGTACCACTCCGGCTCCTGTCAATCAGACAGATCGGGAAAAGGAAAAGGCCAAAGCCAAGGCTGTGGCCTTGGACTCAGACAACATCTCCTTGAAGAGCATTGGCTCTCCAGAAAGCACTCCTAAGAACCAAGCAAGCCACCCTCCAGCCACCAAGTTAGCAGAGCTGCCACCAACCCCTCTCAGGTACCCACACTGGGCAATGTCTTCCTTTTCTGTTTCTCCAGCCTTATACTAGATGTGACATGGCCTGTCCATTGCTGTCTCTAGACCTTTGTGTGGGTCCTTCCTCTCTCCTCTGTGCTATTTCTTCTCTGTGTTTGATAACTCACTTTGTTTCTGCTGCTCCATGTCGACACTATCTTTGGTACCTGTATGAATGGTTTTGCTATGTCTATTTGCACATTTCCCATATGCATGTGTTGTCTCTTATGACTGAAGGTGCCATAAGTCAAGTGTGGATTCTCCTTCCGATTGGTTTGTCAACAGCATCAGAGTGAGCCTTTAGCTGAGTAGGCAGCTGGAACGAAAGGAAACTATATAAGAGGATTGCCTGTTGCCCTGTAACTTGTTATTCTGAATATTTTATTTTATCTTTACTCCTCTCAGGGCCACAGCTAAAAGCTTTGTCAAGCCACCCTCACTAGCCAATCTAGACAAGGTCAACTCCAACAGTTTGGATCTACCATCTTCCAGCGACACCCATGCTTCAAAGGTCCCAGATCTGCATGCTACAAGCTCATCAACAGGGGGCCCTCTCCCTTCTTGCTTCACCCCCAGTCCAGCACCCATCCTCAATATTAACTCAGCCAGCTTCTCCCAGGGCCTGGAGCTAATGAGTGGTTTCAGTGTCCCAAAAGAGACCCGCATGTACCCCAAACTCTCAGGCCTGCACAGGAGCATGGAGTCCCTCCAGATGCCGATGAGCCTGCCCAGTGCCTTCCCCAGCAGTTCTCCCGTCCCCACCCCACCTGCTGCCCCCGCCGCCCCATCAGAGGAAGAGACCGAAGAGCTGCCCTGGAGTGGAAGCCCCAGAGCTGGACAGTTGGACAGGTATGTTGTAGAGACAGAGCCGAGCCTGTCTCAGACTCACTTGGCCATTAGCAGGTCCATCCATTACCGTGCTGTGACTTCTGATATATGTTTTCCCACGTCTTAAATAATTTAGTTCCTTTGTAACTCCCTGAGATATGTAGGGTGCTTTTGTTTTGTCCTCATCATGTACACAGGGGAAGCTTTACAAAAAGTTAAATGATGTCTCAGGAATCTCATATTAATTTTATTTATCATCTAGCTTTAGTTTCCAAGTGCAAAATCAGTTAGTTCTATTACATCACATCCTGGTTCTCACTGTCCATAGTACAACCTTTTGAATGACTAACTACACTACCTTAACTCCTAACAAAAAGAAAACTTAACATTTCAGATATTTCCTAAGTTCTGAGTCAAGAATTTGATTGTGGCGGTTGTATTATTTGTTTATCGAAATAGATTTTCATAGTTTGCTGTCTTGTCTCCAGAGGATATACCCTTCAAACCTATGGTCCCAAACTCTAGTTTCCAAGATAGGCTCATATACCTCTCTCCCCCTCTACAGCAGTCAGCGGGATCGGAACACTCTACCCAAGAAAGGACTCAGGTAACCCTTAAATATGTTTGATTGTTTGTTTGTTTTTCTACCATATACTCTAGACTCCGGGCCTGTTAAAAAGTTAAGCTGGGTGGTGCACACCTTTAATCCCAGCACTTGGGAAGCAGAGGCAAGTGGATCTCTGTGAGTTCACTTCCAAAAATAAAGTCCCAACCCCACCTAACCCGGGCCCCTTGCATGAATTTAGTGGCCCTTTTAGCAAGTCATTTATACGTGGTCCTACAAAAATGCCACCCACATTCCTCTGCAAACTCTCTATCAAGTGTATTAGCTTTTGTAGCTAGTGATTTTCTTTGCTGTCGAGGGAGAAATGAGTTTGTATACAGTAACCATGTCCTTACCTACAGCATCCTATGCTATCATAGCCCTATGTCCTTCCTTGGTTCAATTCATCACTTCATAGTGGACTTCTGAGGCCACTCACATAGGCTAGGAACAGAGGATCCTCCACTGTTGGGTTAGCAGAGTTACTCAACTAGATGGGGATGCCCGTCACCTGAAAGCCTGTACATGGAGCCATCGAGCCCTGAGTGGAGGCTTCATTCATCCATCCTTTGTCTCCATCAGGAGCTCTCAAGGGAAGGGACAATGCTGAGTTACCATTCCTTGCCTAGCTCAGGCATCCCACACACAGCTAAGCCTCTCATGTCACTTGGTAGCAACTCAGACTGAGTTCCTCTGCTACTTCTTCAGGTACCAGCTTCAGTCCCAGGAGGAGACCAAGGAGAGGCGCCACTCCCACACCATCGGTGGACTTCCCGAATCCGACGACCAGGCAGAGCTGCCATCTCCCCCTGCACTCTCCATGTCCTTGAGTGCAAAGGGCCAGCTTACCAACATAGGTCAGTGTCTGCGGTCACTCGCTGTGGCAGGAGATGAAGCAGGGCTCACTCTTCAGAGTGAGGCAAAAACGGCTAGGCATGTTTGGCTCAAGTTGTAGTGGACTGTTTCATGGCGCCTCAGTTTACCAACTCAAACTAAAGATGAAGTGTTCCAAGGTCCTAAACTGAAAAGTCGCCCCTGGGCACAAGTTTTGGGGTCCTGATGGTGTCAAAGGTCTGAATGACAGCATGGGAAATCTACATACCAAGGCCCTGGGCTTGTAGCTGGGTGTTTTATGCATGTTACTCCCAGGGGCAGCTTCGTAAGGGCGACACCAACCTGTGGGCTGATGAACTGCAGGCAGAGAAGGATTGTTGATTGCAGCAGAGAATGAGGTCTGTCTCCAAAACAGAAAGTCCAGATTCACCAACTGCTCTGGGTGAGCCAGGGCCATCCTAGCCCTAAAGGCAGACTGACTAAGACTTGCCCTAGACACACCACGCCCTCTCTAAAGCCTACGGAGAAGGGAAAGCTGGGAAAGAAGGAAGTGGCTCTGTGACTCAGACACAGGATGGGGAAAAAGGCTTCAGGAGGAGGGCCTGGCTCCAGCTCAGACACACACCAGCCTTGGTTCTGGGAAGCACTGTGCTAGCACTGGTTTAATGGGAGTCTCTTTAGGACAGGGCCGGAATAGACCTGCCATTTGCTTGCTGCATCACTCTAAATCATCTCTCCTTTTAGCTGGGTGAAAGAAAGCAGTTCTTTTGTGATGAGGACTTGTAACACGCCTGCGCCGTGACTGTGGGGAATTGGAGGAAAGCTAGGAATGGAGGTTACTTGTGCCTAAGGAAGGGTCATCTGGCTTACATGGGCTTATCAAACGCAGGGTGGGACCAGCCTGTTTTCTGTCTCCATTGAGGGCCAAAGGAGAAGAGAGACCATTTGTGCTGTAGAATGAGGGACTGGGCCAATCTCATCTTGGAATTTCAAAAGGGGCAAGACAGAGGTGTGAATTCTTTTTCCCAGGTCTTTACAGGCAGGGGAAACATCTACAGGCCTGTATGGAGGCTAAAGGTCAGAGAGGGGAATTCCACAAGGGTATGAACCATGAAAGGTGGAGATTCAGCAAGGGAAAAGTGGGAGTGGTGGCCTCTGTGGTCGGCAGATTCCACAGCTGTGGATTCTATAGCTTCGCTGACACCTTCATCCACTCTGTCTCTCTGACCTTCATTTCAGGGGATGCTGGGCAGAGAGAGAGGCCATAGTCTAGTTTGAGATCTCAACCAAAGTGACCTAGAGTGACACTGCTTTACAGGGGGCCTTACTCCCTTTCATAATGCTGAGCCCATTGGATTCCACAGCCTGGTCCCCTTCTCTGTAGCTGGTCCGGTTTCATCATTTGGATCTGAGTCTTGGTCTGATTCTCAGTCCCCACTAAGACAGCCTCCAGTTGTGTTTTCGGGAACCACAGCATCCCATTTTCATCTGCACATCCTAGTGATGTGAAGGTTTCGGGAAAGCCGCCAGGCCCCCAGCCTAACCTTCAAATGCGACAACTCCAAGGCAGGCAGTATTAAGGGGAGACCTTTATTACAGACCATGGAGTCCTTCTCCATTAGGGCCCAGCCTTCCCAGCAGGGGTGACTCCTAACCTCCAGCTGCTCGCACACCCCCACTGCCCCACCTACTGCCCCTTCCTCTCCTCCCCTCTTCCCATTTGCCTCTCATTGACTCCTGCTCCGGCCCCACAAGGGACCAGAGAGCTGATGGCCCTGCCTCTTCTCCTGCCTCCCCCTCCCTCTCCCTTCCCCCTTCCCTCTGTCCTTCCAGTGAGTCCCACTGCGGCCACCACGCCAAGAATCACCCGCTCCAACAGCATCCCCACCCACGAGGCGGCCTTCGAGCTGTACAGCGGCTCCCAAATGGGGAGCACCCTGTCCCTGGCCGAGAGATCCAAGGGAATGATTCGGTCAGGATCCTTCCGCGACCCCACGGATGATGGTGAGACTTCATGCTAACTCGGTTCACAATCATCCCAGCTCTGCTGGGCTCCCTCACCCACCGCCACCTCCACTGCCACCACTGCCGCCACCACACACACATATATAATTCACAGAACATCAACTTGGGCCATTTCAGTTCTGTCTTCCCATAACTTTGAAGGGTCTGGGGGCCCAGAAACCTTGGGTGGCACCACCTAGCACTGGGGTTTGGGGTTGGAGCATCTACCATTGGGGCCCAGGGAAGGGAAACTGAAATCTGGAAGGGTTAAATGCGACTCCTCGGTGCTCTGTGTTCTCAGAGCTTCTATGCCAAGTCTTTCTTCCCCACGGTCTCTCAGAAGAGATATGGGGACAAAATGGCAGCTCTTAAATCCACACAACTAGGCATCTCAGTCCTCTTCCTAGAATGCTGCAAAGACTAGCTCCCAGGCTGGCCATCTGATGGTTGATGGTACTCTGGGTGTTAATGGAAGACCAGGCCGTGGGGTTCATGAGACCTCCATTATTATCGTCAGGATGCATCCCTAATGGATGCGTTAGCTCTGTTAGTTCTTGCAGTGGGTTCTGTTCAATGATCAGACTCTCCCCGCTTTTTTTTTCACCTGAGTGGTCCCCGGGCTCAGAGGCTAGCACTGCAAGGGTGAGAAGAGGAGGCACAGGTAGAATCGGAGTATTGGTTCTGAGCAGCTCTGACAAGAAGCAACCCCTTTCTGCAACTTAAAGTGCTTTCTTGGCTGAGCAGAGCAGATGCTGACCGCACATGAAAATCTCCTTCCCCTGTCTCTAGACCCCTATGCTCCTCAGTCAGGCTGAGCCAGGGACCACCAGGCCCAGGCTGTCAGAGAATACAGATGAAAGGGGAGGCTGTCTCTGTTCAGGACCATGTCCTCGGATACGCGCCTGCTGTGGGCTGTTGGGATATGAACGGGTGCCCTGTGTTGTTCTTTCTGTTTGCTCCAGATGCCCTCCAAGAGTCCAAACTCCTGCCTTCGGGCTCCTCCCAGGAACTCCTGGGCCCTGGAACCCCATGCTAACCTTCTGCACTCTCCTTCTCTTTCAGTTCATGGTTCGGTGTTGTCTCTGGCCTCCAGTGCCTCCTCCACCTACTCCTCAGTAAGACCATTAATGTCCCTTCCCCTTCAGCCCCCTCCTCTACCGTTCCACATTCCCTCAGCCCTCCTTTGGTTGGGTGACTGGATGGGGATGGGGAACTGCTGTCTCTGCATCCTAGACTGTGGGCCTGGGAGTGGGGGGCACCTAGCGCTTGAAGCACTTAGATGAGTGTCTTTCTTTCTGGCCTTGCCACCAACTCCCAAACAACTCTGGTGTTCTTTTTCCCCTTCTCCTTTGAAAAGTGAGATCTCCTTGTGACAGCACCCTTTCCCGGCCATGAGAAATGCTTCTGTCCCCAAGATGAGTAGGTTCCCAAGACTGAAGACCCAGTAACATGCAGCATTGACTAAATGTCTACTGTGGGGAACCATACAGGGCATTTGGTTTTAGATACCCTTTGACTCTTAGTTTTGTTCTGACCCCAATCTTTACTCCCTCAAGTTGTTCACAATCAAGGTTTGTTCCCAGGCCAACCAGTCTCATTCTGTAGCCATTTTGGCAATAACAAGACTGACTAAAGAGAAGCACCAGAGAGAAACCTATTATTTAAACCTGAGTATAGCTCTGAGCCAGTCCTGTAAGGAGCCAGGGCCAAGAGACAGGGGACTCATCTCTCTGCATCTCTCAATCATGCTCCTTCCTGTCTCCGCCCTGATACTTGGGCCTGGCTTCTGCACCTCCATAGTAACCACCTGCTTTTCTCTCTCTCTCTCCTTCTGTGCCCACTTCTTCAGGCTGAGGAGAGGATGCAATCTGAGGTAGGGTACATACAAAGCCTTTGTCTCTGCTTGTTAACACCAAGGCACCCTCCATTTTCCTTCTAGACCCTCTACTTCTTCCCCCATCAGTAGCTTGCCTTTCTCTTCTTTTCACAGCAAATCCGGAAGCTTCGTCGGGAACTGGAATCATCCCAGGAAAAAGTGGCCACCCTGACATCTCAGCTTTCTGCCAATGTGAGTACCTGAAGCAGTGTAAGACCTCGCTCTAGTTAAACACAAGCAATGTGGGAAATTGATCTGATGAAGTCTGCCCTGGGTTTAGACCTGTGGGGAGCAGGTTCTATTCACAGCTATACAACAGGTGATTTGGGGACTGCCCTTCACTTTTTCTGAGCCTTCATTAAGAGCCATTTCTCCCCACCTTAACTAACTGGTATAGATGAGTTGGTATCTGGTAACCGTTGACCTTCCTAAAGAAAGCAGAGACCAGTGGTTCTGCTGAGAGGCAGAAGCAACCTTGCCCTAGGACATGGACAAAAATAGCAATGCATTTTAATTACTGAGCCCTTTCCACTGCCCCAGGGTATATTTATCTCTTCATCAATGCCACATAACTGAACAAGCACAGACCTGGTATTAGAATTCTGTCTGCTGACCATGAGACCAATCCAAAGTCCATCTCCCATTCTAGCTGCTGCCTATGTGATTCACAGTTGGCTCTGCTGTGGGCAGCTGGCAGAATCAATCTTACTTTAGCCTCAGACTGGATATTCGTCGTTTCTGCATTTAACCCACCCTTCATAGATCCATTTTGAGTGACTGCCTTCCTCTGGACCTGACCTTAGTTTTTCTGTCCTGAGAGATTGGGGAGAAATGGAGCCACCTCATCTACCTCCACTGTGGGAAGTTCCTTGCCTGTGACCAAATTGCAAGCGGAGAACATAAGAGACATTTTCACTCAAAATTGTAAACAACAACTGAGCTGGGTCTCCAGGAGCTTTCCAAGTGTTTGCACAAAAATAACCACATCTGCAGTTTCTGCAGTAGTTTCTGCTCTTCTCTCTTCCCCTCCTTTCTGGGGACTCAGCTGCCAGGCCTGAGGCCTAGCCCTTGGAATCAGGTAGAATGTCCACCAAGGTTTTGCATGTTTCTAACATATTTTAGGAACAGCACCCTTACCACATTGGTTATTGTCTTTATTCTTTCTCCCAAATCCTCAGTTCATAAGTCCTGTGCTGACTGGTTTGTATGAAGTCCCTGGGATCAAAAGAATTATAACAGAAACAAGAACCGTCCTATACCACACCCATCAAGGCCAGTGGCCCAGGTCATGTCCTGCACACCCTAGGAAATTCATGTCTGGGAGATGTCGAAGGAGAGGCGCCAGGGAGGCGGGGAACATCATTATGCCTGATTCATTTACACTGCAGTCTCTCAGCCATAGTGCTGTCAAGGCTGGGCTAGTTCCAGAAAATGAATTTAGAGGGTGAATTTTCTTAGAACAGGAAGTTCCATTTGGCTAAGAGAGAACAAACTAAACACCCAGATTTGGTGAGTTCTGAATCTAGAATTAGATTTTTTTTTTTTTTTTTTTTTTTTTTTTTTTTTTTTTTTTTTACCAAGAGTCAGAGCCCTTCCCTCAAGCAGGAGAGGTGATGCCAGGTCCCAGAGCTCTCCTCGGGATTCCTGATGTTGAATGGAACCTCCAAGCTGCTGAAGATGACACATCCTGGCAATGAAGAGACCCAGGTCATTGTATTGCCTCCAATGTTGAACTGTATGCAGAAGGATGACTTGGCCTACAGGCACCCTAATCTGGAGTTAGGATTAGAATAAGGTTCAGTGTTGGGAAAGGGAAGTGAAAGAGCAGAGCAGGGAAAGCCCAGCTCCCCCATGAGGAGATGACCATGCAGACATGTATGAGGAGGCCAGGGGCTCTCCAGGATCTTAAGTAGATTTTCATGGACTATCAGCTGCTTGCCAACCTCATATGATGGTATAGTTAGAAATAACAAGAAGAGTTGAGATTCAGAAGGCAGAAGGTGGGGGCTGGAGTGATGGCTCAGTGGTTAAGAGCACTGGCTGCTCTTCCAGAGAACCTGGGTTTGGTTCCCAGCACCCGCATAGTGGCTTACAAACATCTGTAACTCCCATCCTAGGGGATCCAGCACCCTCTTCTGGCCTGCATGGTGGCATACATACATTCAGGCAAAAACACGCACATACAAACATCATTTTTTAAAAAATGATAGAAGGTGAGAATTGGGCCTGAGAAGGCAAGCTTGAAATCCCAAATGCTTGAGAGTCTACAGTAAGAAGATTGAAAGTTCAGCTGGGCGTTGGTGGTGCACACCTTTAATCCCAGCACTCGGGAGGCAGAGGCAGGCAGATCTCTGTGAGTTCCAGGCCAGCCTGGTCTCCAGAGCGAGTGCCAGGATAGGCTCCAAAGCTACACAGAGAAATCCTGTCTCCAGACAAAAAAAAAAAAAAAGAAGAAGAGGAAAAAGAAGATCGAAAGTTCAAGGCCTGTTTGAAACAGTGAAGTCGAGGAGGCCAGCATGAGTAACTTAAAAATCTTCTCTCAAATTAAAAAAAAAAAAGAAGAAGACAGAAGGTGAAAGAAAGATGCTTAGATCATAATATATGTCTACTAAGGAGCCCAGGCCTCAACAGATTTACAGGAAACACGGAAGATACTGCCTCCTACCTTGTATGCTCCAAGGCAATGATCGTGTTGCAGACGACAGGGACCTGCCCAAAGCCTTCTGCTTCTTGCTAGACTCACCATTTGCTCTCACGGGAGACTGTCCATCCTTGAGTGGTCCCTTTCTGCTCCTGTACCTCAGTCCCTTCACTTTTCTTATACCCTTTACTGCCAGTTGGCTAGCTGGAGATCAAACCACTAGGTATCTTTCCCCAGCCTACCTACCAGAGGTCTGTGTACTACTAGAGTTCCTACAGTTTCCAGTGCAGACCTGACACCTAGTGGCCAAAGTGTGGAATGCCCCTGAGTGGTTTGCACTGCCTCTGATTTCCCTCCCACCCTGCCAGGATTGTCTCCAAAACCAGGAGGAGCTAAGAATAGTCAGCCAGGTACAGAGGCAGAAGAGATAAACAGAACAGACCCTACAGGAAGGTCATTGGTACCAGGAAATCTGGCCCTACAAGGTGGAGTTAAACCAAAAGCAGTAAGACTAATTCCAGAGGCTGTTGCCCTCCCCTCAAACCTTCCACTGACCCACCACATAAAACAGGAGGAACTTTACCACCACTGGTAGATGGTAGGAGCCAGATCTCAAGTTTCCGAGATGCTCCGAAAGCCTGCCCTACCCTCTCTGCACTGTTACTGGAGAAGTTGGTTCTCTCCAGAAAACCTATTTGATTCCACCTTGTCTGCCTAGGGAAATCAATACCTTAAAACCACCAAGAGTTTTGTTTGTACCGGTCAGCTCTGAGACACAGGAAATCTGTTAAACTACTCCCGTATCAGCCATTTCCTCATCCGCAGCTTCATGTGCCTTAAGTTCTTCTTTGTATGTTTGTGTCAGGCTAACCTGGTGGCTGCTTTCGAGCAAAGCCTAGTGAACATGACATCCCGCTTGCGACACCTGGCGGAGACAGCTGAGGAAAAGGTGAGAGGCTCAGGGCGGTGAGTTCTGAACATCCTAGCCAGGGCCACCTCTTCCACTCCACCGTCAGTGCCATTTTCTCACTTTAACTTTAGTCACCCTGGTTCTCAGCCTGCTTGTCAATACAATGTCCCATGTTCATTACTCCCAGTTCCCTGGCCTTTTCTATGGAAAGCAATAGAATCCCAAGCCTGGGTCACTAAGTATTCCTGCTGTGCAAGCAACAGCTCAACTATCGTTTCTCTTAGGACACTGAGCTGCTGGACTTGAGAGAAACTATAGACTTCCTGAAGAAAAAGAACTCTGAGGCCCAGGCGGTCATTCAGGGAGCACTGAATGCCTCAGAAGCCACACCCAAAGGTAGGATATTAGCCACAGAGTACAGGAAACTGAGAAAGAACAGGAGTCAGTGAAAGGAAGATCAGTACTGGGTCTGTAACATGCCAACTTCCATATCCAGTTTCTAGAAGGTGAGAGCCTTAGGTGGTCTGCGGTGTGATGTCTGGATTGTCCAGTGAGGAGTGCCAAGAGTGTGACCCCATAACCCTTGAGAATCAGGACAAGTAGAGGAAACCTGTAGTCTCCAAAGGCCTACTACCCTCTCCTCAGCCTTTAGACCAGAGCCAAAGACCAGTCAAACGAGTGTCTACTGGAACTCATCATGTAGCTCTGATTGGCCTTGGCCGCCCCATCTCCCAAGTGCTGGGATTGTAGGTGTGTGCCACTAAGCCCCGCTAGAAATCATCCCTTTTTGTTTATTTTTTAAATTTCTATTTACTTTTTAAGTTTTTGTACAAGTTATATGTTGAATGTAATTCCCTTCTACCTGCTGCCTTCTCATCCCTCACCCTTCTTGTTCCTTCCTTTGTCCCCTAGATAGTCTTAGTTCTACCATTATGTCACATACATGCATATGTGATTCTGTATATCCATATAAATCCAGGCACAAATGAGGAAAAAGGTGATACTTTCCTTTCAAGGTTGGCAAAAAAATAAATCTTAGGTAAAGGCAGCTTCAGAATAGCACAAATGTGTGGTTGGTTTACAAACATATACATGATTTTATTCCGTCATCACTTCACTGCTCCAAGAAGGATTCATTCAACCTACAATGGAAATGACATAGCCAGAAACTATAGAGGTCCACTGTGGCTCTGTGGCAAATTAGCCATGGTCTTCAGCAATCAGTCATGCTTTGCTGCAGTGAATGTGGGTGCCTAAAGCTAGGGGTAATAGAGCGTTTAACCAACATCTCCAAAGCTGTGAGTTCTATCCCTAGCACACACCAAAGGAAAAAAAAAACCCAAACACTTTCTATCTTCCAGTCCTTTATCACAAGCCAGGCCTGTGGGACAGTTTTGGCAGGCTTCTTAACCATAGTCATTTTTCTTCGTTTTGTTGGTTTTTTAAATTTATTTATTTTTATTTTGTGTACACTGGTGTTTTGCCTGCATGTATGTCTGTGTGAGGGTGTCAGATCTTGGAGTTACAAGCAGTTGTGAGCTGCCATGTGGGTGCTGGGATTGAACCTGGGTCCTCTGAAAGAATAGTCAGTGCTCTTAACTGCTGAGCCATCTCTCCAGCCCCCACTTTGTTGTTGTTGTTGGGGTTTTATTGTTTTTGTTTTTGTTTTGTGTTTTTGAGACAGGGTTTCTCTGTGTAGCCTTGGCTGTCCTAGACCTAGAACTCTGTAGACCAGGCTGGCCTTGAATTCACAGAGATCTGCCTGCCTTTACCTCCTAAATGCTGGGATTAAATCATGCACTACCAACACCTGGCCCATAGTAATTTTCCTATCACTTTTTCTTCTCATGCCTCTGCTGACCTCTATGCTTTACAGTGAACATGGCCCTCAATGCCTTACTTGAGAAAATGAACATTTTCAAGTGAGACATCATTGATTATTCCCTATCCTACCAATCCAATTCTTATTTATTTTCTCTTATTTATTTCCCATTTTTTGAAAGGCTCTATCCCCTCTAGCCAAGAGTGACATCTTTCTTACAGCTTTAAGATGCACCCTCTAACACACCACACACACACACACACACACACAGTATTGCTTAATTCGAGATCATAAAGAGTTACTTGCATGTTTCCTTCTGAAATAGTTTTAGATCTTTGTAAAGTTTTTAGTTTTAGATTCATTTATTTATTTACATGTATGAGGTTGTACTCGAATGGCATGTATGCCTGGCAGCACCAAGTGTGTGTGCCTAGTACCTGAGTTGGTCAGAAGAGGCATCCAATCCTCTGGAATTGGAGTTATGGTTGTGAGCCACCATGTGGATGCTGGGAATTGGACTCAGTCCTATGCAAGAACAATTGATCTTAACTATTGAGCCATCTCTCCAGCCTCTAGTTTTAGATCTTACATTAGGTCTTTGTTTCTCTTTGTTTCATTTTTAATTTTTTTTTTTTTTTTTTTTTTTTTTTTTTTTTTTTAGAGATAGGGTTTCCTATAGCCTAAACTGGCCTCATATATTCACTGTATAGCCAAGGATGACCTTGAACTCTTGATCCTCCTGCCTCCACCTCCCAAGTGCTGGGATTACAAGCAAGTGTTCCATACTCAGGTTCAGGTTCATTGTCATGGATGGATGGATGGGTGGATGGATGCATGGATGATAGCCAATTGTTCTGGTACCATTTAATGAAAAGACTATTTTCTCTACTGAATTACATTAGAAATTTGTCTTTATCAGTTGAAAAAATAAATAAGTAAGTGTGTGGGTTTATTTCTGGACTCTGTTCTAATACCATGTTCTGTATCTGTCCTTAACCAGTATCGCACTTTCTTAATTACTTCTTTGTGCAGTTAGTTTGAAAGTTGGAGAGGATGATCTTGCCACCTTTGGTCCTCTTCAAGATTATTTTGGTTATGGTCCATATCGAGTGACCTACACATACACACAAAATCAAATCTAGATTCTACATATGAAAGTAAATATATTTGTCTCTCTGAGTCTGCTTAACATTATTTCTGGTTGCATCGCTTTTTCCTTATGTCTGCATAAAATTCCTTTGCATATATGTACCACATTTCTTTTATTCATTCATCTGTTGATGGGCAGCTAGACTGGCTCCATTGCCTGGCTGTTGAGAACTGTGCAGCAGTCAGCATAGATATGCAAGTATCTCTGTGTTTGTTTATTTGTTTTTTTAACAAGGTCTTGCTGTGTAGCTAGTTGGCCTCAAACTCCCTTTGTAGAGCAGTCTATCCTCCAACTTGCAGCAACCCTTCTGCTTCACCCTTGTATAAATACACAGCACACACCTTTCCCACCTGCAGTTTGCCCAGCTCAGGTATTCTCAGCCTAGGTACTTAATATAGCACTCATGTTTTCCTCCTCACTGTTTGGCCCATGGAGGGAGTTCTCTGCGGTGCCTATGCAATCCCAATTATGCTTCCCTCCGTATTGTTCCTGTCCTGGCTCAGGTTCTCAACTGTTCTTCCCCTGGATTACTGCAGTAATTCCCTAGCAGGCTCTGGATGCTCCAGCCCCTACTTCCCACTGCCCCCAGATTAACTGCATTGTCAGTTCAGGTCGGAAAGCATTCCGATTTAAATATGAGCTGGTTATTAGATAAAAGGAATTATGATTAATTTTCATTGGTCTGATAATGCTGTTGTGAGCAAATTACCCATATTCACAGGAGATGTATCTTCAAGCATTTAGTTGTAAAATGTCATCTGCAACTTATTTTCAAATTGTGTGAGAAACTGGGGAGGGAGCAGATAGAATAAAGTTAGCAATTGTTGAGTTAGGCAGAGGGCAGCTGAGTGAGTACTATTTTACTATGCTGTAAGTTTTCCCTTGTGTTTGAAACATTTCAGAAAATCAAGTTAAAAGAGGATAGACTTGGGAGGCAGAGGCGGGTGGATTTCTGTGAGCTTGAGGCCAGCCTGATCTACAGAGCCGGTTCCAGGACAGCCTCCAAAGCAATACAGACAGAAAAACCCTGTCTCAAAACAAAAAAAAAAAAAAAAAAAAAAAAAAAAAAAAAAAAGAGCATAGACTGTATCCCTAGCCCTTTAGAATTGCATGCCAGCCTCCTCCTGCTCCAAAGTGTGCATTTCTTTTTAGCCCCATCTTCCGTCATTTCCTCTTGCAACTGATATTCCATCTATAAATAATCCTGCCATATGGTGGACACTTTTCTAAGCATTTCCTGTAGCTTCACTAGAGCTAGTGCTGAAACAGTAGTGCCCAGGTGTGTTTTATTTATAAATAGCCAATGCATGTGCATGGCACAAAACTCGAGAGGCACGAAATGTTTTCTGACTGCTGCAGATATTTGGTGCTACAGACTTATCTTTAGCACTCTACCCCTTCTGCAGTCCTGAGAGTTGCAGTCAGTGCCTTATGTATAGTAGGCCAGCACTCCACCACTCCACCACCACGCCATATCTCTAGCCCTTTTTTGTTATTGAAAGTATCTTAGACGTAATTTTTAATTTAGTAGATGGACTTGCAACTATTGAAAGCTCCCTATGCTAGTCAAATTCCTACCTTCCCCCCCCCCTTTTTTTTTCTTTTTTGGTGTGAGGGGGCTTGAACCCAGGGCATCTGCATGTACCTTTCATCAGCTCTGAATGCTTTTCTTGGTGTTTCCATCTTAAATATCTCTGCTCTTTCAGTACTTAAACGTCTCCACTGTTGGCCTGTATTCCCACTTTTTAAGGAAGAGAATTTTCCTTAAAATTGGTTCATTTTTCTTGCTACTGCAAACCTCAGAGAATTCAAATTTTCTGCCTGTCAGATGACAAACTGGAGCTCATTGAGGTTCAACGTAAGGCACACGGCTGCTTATAGTTGACCTTGAGCCAAAAGGCAACCAAGTATTGCTGGAGGATCATAAAAATACAACAGGGCGTAGGGCAAGAGAACTGCCACAAGTTTAGAGCCAGCCTGGGCTACAGAGTCAGTTACAGGTCAACCTGTGCTACAGAATTAGACACTGTCTCAAAAAATAAAACAAAACAAACAACAAAAACAGGTATGATGGCTCATACATGTAATCCCAGCACTTGGGAGGCAAGGCAGGAGAACTGTCACAAGTTCAAGACCAACCTGGTGTACACAGTGAGACTTTGCTAACACACACACAGGTCATATCTGCATAAAAGGGTTCAGGGCCAAACCAGATGGTGGTGGCGCATGCCTTTAATCCCAGCACCCGGGAGGCAGAGGCAGGCCAGTGTTGTCTACAAAGCTACACAGAGAAACCCTGCTCAAAAAAAAAAAGTGTCCAGGGCCAGCTTCAGTTAAGTCCTTTTCACAAATAATCAACCTGAGTTCATTACTAAACCCTTCTATTATACTAACCTGGGGATTCTTTCTTGTGGTTTTGCTCTTGCTTTACTTTAGCTTTGATAGGGTCCTGCTATGTAACCCAGGCTGGCACAGAGCTCACAGTCCTCTAGCTTCCCAAATGCTGGCACCACCATGCCCAATTTAGAACAGGAGCTTCCTGAGAATGGGAATTGTTTCTTTTTTCACTTTAGCATTTTCTTCTATGCTGAAGCATGACTGTAACTCTGTAAGTGTCTATTGAATGAATAATCCACCAAACGAGTACTTAGAAGTTAGTGGGTCCCCCCTCTAACTAGACTACTTAAGCCTCATGACTTCTCTAAATCTACCTCTGTGTTCTTCCCACTTGTTCTGGCCAATAGAACTCCGGATCAAGAGACAGAACTCCTCAGATAGCATCTCCAGTCTCAACAGCATCACCAGCCATTCCAGCATTGGCAGCAGCAAGGATGCTGATGCCAAAAAGAAGAAGAAGAAGAGCTGGGTAGGTAACGTTATGGGAGCCAGCCTGCAGTAGTTTACGTTTACCCCAGTGTAGGGAACTGGTCCTTTCAGGACCAACCAAAAGACAGTCCCTTCTAGTGAGGTGTTAGTGTGACATCTGCTGGGAACAAAGTCTGCCAAGTCCCTTCTCCTCCAACCATTGGCTACCCACCACCACCACTCACCCAGAACTCTTTATATATACCTGCTTTCCTGGGGCCCTACCTACTGATGAGGTCAAATGTATTTGGGCACAGAAGGAGCTTAGAAAACATGGAAGGGAAAAAAAATGGCATATCAGTACGTTCCCCCACTCTCTCACTGTGGAGAGAATTTATAAGCCAAGGGGCTCATTGTAGATACTCCTGGGGCCATTGCCTTGGTTTGGGAGAGGTGCCGTTGGCTGGCCTGGAGATGGGTTTGTTATGTGTGCTGTCCCCGTCCCCCCACCCCGTAGCTCTAAACTGACCCTGGATGAGCTTTTCTAAAGTCTTTAGGCAGGTGTTGGGGACTCACTGTCTGACTGACTGAAAGGGAGAGTGACCCAGAATGAGCTGTCTTGTCCCTGTGCCCTGCTGATGAAGGCTGGCCACCTAGTGCAGGCAGGAGCCCGCTGTGTGAAACAGCTGTGTGAAACGGATGATTAGTGCTGCTGCTGCTTCTTTCTTTTCATTTTTTTTTCCTTTTATTTCCTTCAAAATGCTGACTTCCAATCCCTATTTTTTTCCAGGTTTATGAGGTAAGAGACTCAGTTCCTCTCCCTTTACTTTTTCTTTCCCTTTGCACACCCTCCCTATTTCCAGAGCAAGTACCCTCTCCTTTAAAAAAAAAAAAAAAGGTCACTCATAACCCCAACTGCCCCAAGTTCCTAACTCACTCCACTGCATGGTTCATCCACGCTGCCCCTCATGAGGACAGAGGAGTGGTCTGCTTAGGGGTCAAATGGGAAATCCTAACAAAATCCGAATCTATTGCCTGCCATCTTCCCCTGCTCCATGATTGGCCTGTTATAAAAAGCAGGCCCATTAAGCTCCTGTTATCCAGAAAATGGGCCTTTTGTTTTCTGTCCCACTCAACCATGAAATCCCAAAATGGAAGAGGCTCAATGAAGGCTATCTGGATCACAGTTTCTGGAGGCCTGTCCATTTCAGGCTTATCTAAATGAAAAATCTTTAGAATAGTGTGAACCGGAGACAGGTGAGGCATTTATTTCATCTAGCGCAGGGAATGCTCGTCACTCCAGACCAAAGGCCATGGAGCTTCCAAGGACATCTCGGGAGTAGAGTACTGCCCAAGTCAAACAGGATGTGGTCCAGAATTTCTATTCCAAAACAGATATGTGAGCCCCACTCTAACTGTCTCCCAGCATTGTACTAGGATGTGAAGGATGTGGAAAGCTGAGCTCATTGCCCCAGTCACTTAGAAGCCTACCAGCCTGGTGGTGTATGCCTAAATCCCAACACTAGGGCGACTGAGGCAGGAGGAGGACCATGAATTGGATGACAGCCTGACCTACATAGTGAATTCCAGGCCTGAGTTGGACCCTGGAACCCTCACAAAGGTGGAAGGAGAGAACTGACTCTACAGATGCACACAGATGGAGAGGCCTGTTGGTCATATCAATCTGGACATTTAGAATAGCAGTTCCCAAAGTGTGTTAAACAGATCACCAGGCCACTGGGATGGTCCTTAAAGACTGATAATATCATTAGAAACCTCTGAGGGGTGCTGCATCTCCAACTTAGCATATCTGCCTTGGGAAAGTTCTAAGACACCCCACCCCTAGCAGAGAATCCTGGCTCTCTCTGCTGAATACATGGGTTGAACCAGTGTTGCTCTGTAGGAACAGCAAATGTCCCCCTGCAGCCCTGACTGTCAGAATACTGAAGCTTACTTAGAGCACTACTGTCATAGAAATGTAATGATTGCAAGGGCTCCTGCTGTGGGCAGAAGTGGTCACAGGATTTCTCTCTAGAGAGGGAAGGAGACAGAGACAAGAGATAGACTGAGTCCCATGAGAGAGTGGTGTGGAGAAAACTCCACCAGATTGAAAATCAGGAAGCCTGGATGTCTTCCTTAAAATACACAGTGTCAAGACAGTCAGCCTCAACTATTCCTCTCTACAGCTGAAGCTTTGGGGTACTTTCAAGCCCTGGTGGCTCCATGATAACACATCCTAACCAACCGCACACATACTCTCACCTATCCCTCAAGTCAGTTTGGTCCTCAGGTCTTACCTAGAAGTTCCACACACAGCATGTACTAGCTCCAAAAGCTCCCAGGAGACCTCAGACATGTTCTAAGAAAGACACCTTGAAAGGAGATACTCAGTCCCTCCCACCACCACTTTTTCACTTACTGCTCCAAAGATCTGGCTGGCCTTTGTCCCCTATAGCCTTTGACCCCTCCTTTACTCTCTGTCTCTTGCTGCCATCCCATGTCGATGTTCCTGTGTGTGTGAGTGTGTGTGTGTGTGCATGCTGTATGGAGGCATGTGAATGGGTGTGGGTCAGGTCCTTGGCTTGCATATCTAGCTCACATCCCTAACCCCAAAGCTCATCACCAGAATCGAACAAACTATGGTCAGATTATAATGCCCTGAGAATGGCTAGAAAATAGCTCTGATTCTAGGACCCTTGGCATAGTAAGCAGTGCCAAAAGGTGGGCATGGGGATAAAACACCAGTAACCCCAGCACTTGGGAGGTAGAGGCAGGAGGATCCAGAGTTCAAGGTCACCCACTTGGACCTACAGATCGAGTTCAAGGCTCCCTGATCTACATAAGACTCTGTCTTAAAAAAAAAAAAAAAAAAAAAAAAAAAAAAAAAAAAAGAGGAAAGAGATCTTCTATTTGGTTGCTTTAACCACTGTGCCATGTGCTGAGAACAAGAAATAATAAGTGGAACTTGACATCACTTCCTTCTGTTGATCTTCCCAGGACTATATTGTCAGTTTCTGATTAATTTATGAAGAGATCAGTAGACTCTTGTATAATGAGCCCAAGTTGGAAGTGGCATCCTAAGACCCACAGAGAGTGAGGTTCTAAAATAATCAGATAATGGAGGAAGTGAACCTGGACTGTTCAGAGGTGTACCATGTGACATATGGGGAGCTTTTTTCCCTGTCATGAGGGACACAGTTCCCTCCATGAATTCAGTAAGTTCCCCTGGCCTGTAATGGCAGCAAACCAAACGATCCTACTCTTGGTGATCAGTACCGACTTCTAGATAACTCCTCTCCACCAGTCAAGTGACATGTCAGAGTGGGTGTAATTACAAGTAAATCCTCTGCCTCCACATCCCTGTCCCAGCCCTAAAGCCATCCTTCCCATCAGCCTTGACGTCTCTCTCCCCGGAATCTGCTCTCTTCTAGCTTCGAAGTTCCTTCAACAAAGCCTTCAGCATTAAAAAGGGCCCCAAGTCAGCCTCCTCATACTCTGATATTGAGGAGATTGCCACACCTGACTCCTCAGCCCCGTCATCCCCAAAACTACAGCATGGCTCCACGGAGACTGCATCCCCCTCCATCAAGTCCTCCACCTCATCCTCTGTGGGCACTGAGGTCACCGAGTAAGTGCTCTGTCCACCAGCCACCCTGGTAAACTTCTGGCTGGAGTTGGCAGTAAGCCCACAGACCCTGAAAAATGACACCATACTGCTGGCCTTTGCCTGGGCATGTGAAACCCACAGAGGGACCCTTCCTGACATACCAGTTGGGTGCCTATAAGCAGAAGGAAACAGGACTATAGGCCAGGCATGTCAGTATTCCCTGCTACCCAGTGAACCTCTGGGATCCAGGCTGACTCTTACTTCCTTACAGGGCCCCTGCTCATTCGGTCCCCCACACTAGACTGTTCCAAGCCAGTGAGGAGGAGGAGCCAGAGAAGAAGGAGGTATCGGAGCTGCGCTCTGAACTCTGGGAGAAAGAAATGAAGCTTACGGATATCCGGTTGGAGGCCCTGAACTCTGCCCACCAGCTAGACCAGCTTCGAGAGACCATGCACAATATGCAGGTCAGCGTCTGGGCAGAGCTGCAGGAGGGGGTCGATGGCAGGGTCTGCCGCCCGTGTCACCCTGCCACCTGCCCTGTCTCTTTCACCCACAGCTGGAGGTGGACCTCCTGAAAGCGGAGAATGACCGACTGAAGGTTGCCCCCGGCCCCTCCTCAGGCTCCACTCCGGGGCAGGTCCCTGGATCCTCTGCTCTGTCCTCCCCTCGACGTTCCCTGGGCCTCGCTCTCAGCCACCCCTTCAGTCCCAGTCTTGCAGATACAGGTACCTGCTCGTTGACATCGTTCCACCTGTGTGGTAGCATCCTTGAGCCAGGGGGTAATGGTGTTGAAATCAGGAAGATCCCACTGTCAGTAAACACTACAGTTCTTAGCTCTGTGCTTTTCAGATTGGGGCTCCCCTCTCTTCTTTGTCATAAGGCATCATTATTTGGAAAGGAACATAACTACAGAGTTTGGAGTAAGGCTGGGTGGGTCCTTAAAACCAATTAGTCTTTTTTTCAACCTTCACAGATCTGTCACCCATGGATGGCATCAGCACCTGTGGTCCGAAGGAAGAGGTGACCCTGCGGGTGGTGGTGCGAATGCCGCCCCAGCACATCATCAAAGGGGTAAGGGACTTTAGGAAGGGCCAGCGTGGGAAGCAGCATGATAGAGATGGCCCCAAATCTGCAGTGGTGCGGAAGCAATGTATGTTCAGTAGAAACTGCTTACACATTGAGTTTTGATCTATCCCTGGGCTAGCAATATGCAGTATGGAACACTCTCAGGACCCTGGGTGGTGACAGTGAGCCACAGCCTTCAGCCAGCCACACAACCATGAGAGTAAACAGCAGATGCTCCCGTGGCTTCAGTGTACTCACAATATTTGAACTCATAATGGTTTTACCATGGGGTGGGGGAAGGAAGACAGGGTCTCATTTAGCTCGAACTGACCTTGAACTTGCTCTACAGCCGAGGATGACCTAAAAGTCTGATTATCCTGCCTTCACACCCTTTTTTTTGGTGTGTGGGGGGGGTCTCATGAGGCTGTCACATAAAGAACAACATCTATACTGTCAGACTTACGCCAAAAAAAAAAATTCCGAATATTCCTGAAACTAGAGTACTTAACTCCTGAGGCTTTCTGGGATCTCCCTTTCTAGTGTCATCTTCACTGAGGCTCATATGGCTCAACCTTAACCTTACAGGACTTAAAGCAGCAGGAGTTCTTCTTGGGATGCAGCAAGGTCAGTGGCAAGGTGGACTGGAAGATGCTGGATGAAGCTGTTTTCCAGGTGTTCAAGGTAAGGTGATTCTCCCTCAACAGAGGTTGTTCATCTTCTCAAGGGGCATTCAGCCATACAGACACCGGGATCCCGGGAACTTTTAATGCTTTATTGAAGGGGGGGGGCAAAATAGGAAAACGCACATACCCTATTCCTCCAACAGCTCCTTTCATTGCCCATAGTATATTCTTCTTTCTTGTGGCTTGTCCATCTGTAGTTAACATCTTTTCGGCACCCTCACAATCTTCTTAATTCTCCCACCTCTTCTGCCAGGACTATATTTCTAAAATGGACCCAGCTTCCACCCTGGGACTAAGCACCGAGTCCATACATGGCTATAGCCTCAGCCATGTGAAACGAGTGTTGGATGCTGAGCCTCCAGAGATGCCGCCTTGCCGCCGAGGCGTCAATAACATCTCAGTCTCCCTCAAGGGTCAGTCTTTGTCTCCTGGGGTTGGGTAGTGTGGCATGGAGGCAGGGAGAGGGCCATCCAGTCAAGCAGCATGCATTCATGTAACCAGGAACTACTGAGAAACCCCGATGTTTGAAGGTGTTTGAGTAACAGAGGAAATAAAAAAAAAGATAAGACCCAGTCTGACGTTTTCGCCGAACTCGGGCTTCTTCTCTCTCCATTCTAAGTTAGAGTGTATCCCTAAAAATGAGATCCAGAGCTGGAGAGATGGCTCAGCGGTTAAGAGCGCTGGCTGCTCTCCAAAAGGATGTGGGTTCAATTCCCAGCACCCACATGGTGCTTCACAACTGTCTGTAACTCCAGTTCTAGGGGCTCTGACACCCTCACACAGACATACATGCAAAACACCAATGTACATAAAATAATAAATAAATGATTTTAAAAAAAATGGGATCCAGGTTTTCAAAGCTATGAGGAGGTTCCACTGGAACTCTAAGACAGGTGGTTCTGACTTTCTTCAGTGGACCCCTAGATGATGAAGGAAAGGCTCTTTGGGTAGCTTGCCATCCTCAGAGCTGGCTGAGACTCATGCTTTCTCGGGTGGGGTGCAGGTCTGAAGGAGAAGTGTGTCGACAGCCTGGTGTTCGAGACGCTCATCCCCAAGCCCATGATGCAGCACTACATAAGCCTCCTGCTCAAGCACCGGCGCCTCGTGCTCTCCGGCCCCAGCGGCACTGGCAAGACCTACTTGACCAATCGGCTGGCCGAGTATTTGGTGGAGCGCTCGGGCCGGGAGGTCACCGATGGCATCGTCAGCACTTTCAACATGCACCAGCAGTCTTGCAAGGTGGCTGCTCCTGAGACCTCCTGCCAGTCTGTGCGACTTCAGCCTCACCCGAGCCTTTCCCTAGCCCCTTCTGCCCCTCATCCTTTTCCCTTTCCATGACTCTCCCTTAGTCTTTCCCCCTTCTTTGGTGTTCTTTCCCACCTCTCTCTCCTCCTGACATCCCCTTGTCTCGTCATCTCCTCTTCTCCCCTCCCCTCTTCTCCTCTCCTTTTTCTCTTTCCAGGCAGGGTCTTGCTATGTAGCCCAGGCTGGCTTTGAACCAGCAGTCTGCTTGCCTTCCTCTCCCCATCCCCAGCTCTCTCTCTGTGTGTGTGTGTGTGTGTGTGTGCGTGTGTGCGTGTGCGTGTGCATGTGCGCCCACGCAAGCTCGTGGTGTTGAGTATTAAGCACAAAGCCTCATACATGCTAGGCAAGCACTCTACAACTGAGCTACATCCCCAAGCTCTTTTTACTTTTTCATTTGAGACAGGGTCTCCCTAAGTTTCCCAGGCTGCCCAGAACTTGCAATCCCCCTGCCTCAGTCTCAGCTTGCTCTTAGCTGTTTATCCATAGCTTCCTCCTCCATACATTCTCTCACCTCTGCCTCAGTTCCTTTCTAGTTGATCAACAGTAAAACATAGCCTCTTTTTCTCTGCACTCTGCTAATGCCGCCTATCACATCCCTTCTCTTTTATCTTGTTCCCTCTACTTTGCTTTTCATTATTACCAACAGACCATGGGTTATAGGGAGCAAGTGTTCAGGATTAATTATTACATGTCATCATGATGACATCAACTAAATAAAGCACCATTTCAGAATAGATACTTTTTACTTTGTGGGGGTGATTTAAGATTAATGCTCAAAAGGGTTTGCTTGAAAGTTGCTGGGGATTTAGCTCGGGTAGAGTGCTTACCTAGCATGTGCAGTGCCCTGGGTTCAATCCCCAGCACTTCAATAAACAGAAAAATAAATAGATGGATAAATAGACAAGACATTTGAGGGTCTCTAGGACTACTGTCAGTTAGTCTATGGTAATCTGGTTCTGTAATCCAATATTTAAGCACATCCAACAGGGACCAAGGGCCCCAGGGAAATACAGAATTAACCAAGCTTCTCCAAAAGTCTTCTTGCCAAGGTTCTTCAGATGCAGATTCTTGAGTGCTGACCCATTGTCTTATTTCAGGATCTGCAACTGTACCTCTCCAACCTGGCCAACCAGATAGACCGGGAAACAGGAATTGGGGATGTGCCCTTGGTGATCCTATTGGATGACTTGAGTGAAGCAGGCTCCATCAGTGAGCTGGTTAATGGGGCCCTTACCTGCAAGTATCACAAATGGTAAGCTGGGTCAGGACCATTCATTCACCACAGTAGGGAGAGGGGGGAGAATGCAGCCTGGTCCAACCTATGAGCTTCCTTCCCATGGGGAGGGAGACAGTAATTGTTAGGGCAGATCTAAGTAAATCCTTCTCCCTTTCTTCCCACAGTCCCTATATCATAGGTACCACCAATCAGCCCGTAAAAATGACACCCAATCATGGCTTGCACTTGAGCTTCAGGTAAGAACTATGTCCCTCCGTGAACCTTCTGGCCTTACCCGGGTGCCTGTAAATAATAATTCAAATCTTGAACTTGTAGGCAGAGGAGCCGTAAGTAGCAGGAGAGAATAGGCAGAGCCTTTTCGGCTAGGAAAGGGAAGTAGGTGTTTTTTGCATGTCAGTTACAGGGTGTGGAAGAGGAGGACTTTGAGGAAAGGGAAGGAACAAAAGCCTAGGAGGAATCCTGGCTGGCTGCCGTACTAAAGGACTTTCTTCCTGGTCACTGTGAGGCCAGTTATTTGAAGAGGTCAGAATTGAAAATCAGCTGTACCTGTCCAGAGTTGCTACCTTACTGCCATCATCACCTCCTATCATTTGGGAAGTCAAGTGGGCATTAATGGGAGACAGGCAGGAAGGGCCAGACTGGCAGGGTGTAAACCCTGGCAGTGTCCCCACTGACACTCTAACCCTGTTCTTCCTATCTCTGGTTGCAGGATGCTGACCTTCTCTAACAACGTGGAGCCAGCCAATGGCTTTCTGGTCCGTTACCTGCGGAGGAAGTTGGTAGAGTCAGACAGTGACATCAATGCTAACAAGGAAGAGCTGCTTCGGGTGCTGGACTGGGTGCCAAAGCTGTGGTATCACCTCCACACCTTCCTAGAGAAGCACAGCACCTCCGACTTCCTCATTGGTACTGGGCCCAGCTTTCCCTGGGGGCTGGAAGCAGTTTCCCTTCTTGTGTCTTTCCCCCCTGGAGGGAGGCTCTCTTTGCTTGCTGGAGTGGAACCACTTTAAGTGTTTTATAAGCCTTCCCAGTGCACTGGATACATCACTCAGATAGCAGTGGCTCGAGGCCATCCTGAGCAACATATTGAAACTCCCCTATTGTTAAAAATAAATAAATAAGTTATTTAAATGGAATAAATATGCTGAGGGATAGCTCAGTGGTAGAGCACTTACTTAACATGTGCAAGGCCCTAGGTTAAAGAATAAAGCTACGCTTCCCCTCATTCCCGCCTTACAGTTAATTGGTAAAGGGAGAGAAAGCGTGCAGGAGGGAATTGAGATGCTTGCCTTCCTCCTTGTCTCATTTCCACCTTGTAAACCATTACTGGTTTGCCAGATAGTTGGTACCCACTGCTCCTGAACAGCTTCAGATTTCCTCTAAAGCTTTGGCTGTCACATCCCTATGCCCTGTACTAAGGAGTGAACAGCTTCAGATTTCCTCTAAAGCTTTGGCTGTCACATCCCTATGCCCTGTACTAAGGAGTGAAAGAAGCAGGGCACGGCAGATCGAGGTTCTCTGCCTTCTTCATGGCTGCATTGTTGTCCCTAGGCCCTTGCTTCTTTCTGTCCTGCCCCATTGGCATTGAGGACTTCCGGACCTGGTTCATTGACCTGTGGAACAATTCTATCATTCCCTATCTACAAGAAGGAGCCAAGGATGGGATCAAGGTGAGCCTCACCCTCTGACCCTACTCAGACTTCTTACTGCTGTCCCAACCAGAACTTGTTACCCATTGATCCACCTTCCCCCAGTTTTCCCTTCCTGGTCTCCCCAGTGGCTGACAACCACCGTGCTCCTTAAATATCTATTGAGATCCATTTTTATACACCACATAGAACTGTGACCAGATGATACTTACCTTCTCTGTGTGGCTTGTTTCCACACTTGGAACCATGCTGTTACAAATTACAAGATTTCAGTCCCTTTATGGCCGAACCATATTCCACTGGGTATGTAGACCAGATTTTCTTTATTCCATCATCAGTCGATGGATACTTGTGTAATTTCCATCACTTGCTGTGTCAGCACTGCACTAACATGAGAGTAAAGATGCCCCTTTCAAAATAGTGGCCTCATGTCTTCTGAATGTATACCTAGTAGAAAGATTGGTGGCCAGCCTGGTCTCCAGAGCCAGTGCCAGGATAGTCTCCAAAGCTATACAGAGAAACCCTGTCTCGAAAAACCAAAAAGAAAGAAAGGAAGGAAGGAAGGAAGGAAGGAAGGAAGGAAGGAAGGAAGGAAGGAAGGAAGGAAGGAAGGAAGGAAGGAAGGAAGGAAGGAAGGAAGGGCTATGCTGAAGCCATGGAGCTTCACCTAGGGTTTTACACTTTTACTATTATCACCACATATACAAAAAGCAGCAGCAGCAGCTATGGCAGAGTTGAAACTAGAAAAAACACATAACTTTATATCCTCTGTCATGACTTATGTGTCCTTTGTCGGCATCCCCTATCCTTAATACAGTTTTTATTTTTAAATTAAAAATAAATATAGAAGTGGAAATATAGCTCAGTGGTAGATCACTTGCCTACTATGCTTGAGTCCCTGGCCTCAACTCTCAGATCCACAATAAATAAATAAGTACATAAATAAATAAGTAAAGTTGATCTAAGCCCTGGTGTGTCACATCTTATAACTCTAGCACTTGGATAAGTGGCTAAAGCAGGAGTGTCACAAATTTGAGGCTAGTCTATACTATATAATAAAAATCTTTTAATTAACAACAAATTTTAAGGTTTAACTGGGCATGTGGTACATGATTGTAATCTCAGGAAGCTGTGGAAGGACTGCTGTGAGTTTGAGACCAGCCTGGACTACATATCAAGCACCAGGACAGCCAGATCCAAATAGTGAGACTGTTTTAAAAGAAAACTAGCTAGGCACTGTGGTAGCACATGCCTTTAATCCCAGCACTTGTAGTTGGGAGGCAGAGATGGGTGATCTCTGTCAGTTCAAGGCCAGCCTTATCTACATAATGAGTTCCAGGCTAGCAAGAGTGATATAGTGAGACTCTTAACAAACTTTTAAGATAATATGCTAAACTATCCTCAATTATTCTAGCAGTTTATACCAACTTATTTTCTTTCATGAGAAGCTAAGATACATAAATCAACACTTCAAGTCTTTATGTTTGAGGATATATATATTTCCAGGGACTGTTTTGTTGTTTTGGGGGTTTTTTTGTTTGCTTGTTTTTTTTATTTTTGTTGTTGTTTTGGGGTTTTGGGGGGGATTTGGGTTTTGTTTTTTTGTTTGTTTGTTTGCTTGCTTTTTTGGTTTTTTTGTGTTTGTTTGTTTGTTTGTTTGTTTGTTGAGACAGGGTTTCTCTATATAACTGCCTTGGCTGTCCTGGAACTCACTCACTCTGTAGACCATGCTGGTCTCAAACTCACAGAGATCCGCCTGCCTCTGCCTCCCGAGTGCTGGGGTTAAAAGCGTGGGCCACCACCGCCTGGCCAGAGTGTATTTTTAGTGAAACAGAAGAGACAATATAAGTAAGCTTCTGTTCTGTTGTTGTGCCTCTTGTTAATCACAGTTTTCTTCTCCAGGTACATGGACAGAAAGCTGCGTGGGAAGATCCAGTGGAGTGGGTCCGGGACACTCTTCCCTGGCCGTCAGCCCAACAAGACCAATCAAAGCTATGCCACTTGCCCCCGCCCTCTGTGGGTCCTCACAGCATTGCCTCACCTCCAGAGGACAGGACAGTCAAAGACAGCACCCCAAGCTCCCTGGACTCAGACCCTCTGGTGAGTAAAAGTCATTGTTTTTAAAGCCACAAAATATTATGGAACTGAATTCCTACACTCTTCATGTATGTTCTGATGGGCCTTAAGCATTGAAGAGTTTCAGCAAAGCCAGAACCAAAATGAGGCCAGTGAGGAGCTTTCCGCATCAGGATCTTGGGTTACAGTGATCTCATGCCTGCATCCTAGCTGAAGCTAAATAACACATCCAGGAAAACGTATTCTAGCAAAGGCCCAAGTTTCAGGAAGTCTGTGAAAGAATATAAACCAGAGAGGGGCTGGAGAGGTGGCTCAGCAGCTCTGAAATACTCTCCCAGAGGACTCACATTCAGTTTTCAGCACCCACATCTAAGCTAGGGGATCTGACAAAGCTGAATCGTGTGGGTACAGCACTCATGTGGACACATGTACATGCAGATATACACACATATAGTTAAAAATAATAAAAATTAACCCAGCACTCAGGAGGCAGAGGCAGGCAGATCTCTGTGAGTTCAAGGCTGGCCTGCTCTACCGAGCAAGTTCCAGGACAGCTAGGGCTACACACAGAGAAACCCTGTCTTGAGAAATGAAAATAAATAAGTAAATATCAATAATAATAAAAATTTAAAGACTATCATCAACCAAAGAAATAGAGCACTAAGTGTTGTCAGCACTTCCTACCGAGGCCTCTCCTCTAACATTATTCTGAAGCTTCTTCACTAAGTGTATTCTGTAAAATGTAAACTGGGGGAAAATATTTACAGTAGATACAGCCAAAAACTTAGTATTTTAAATTGATAGAGTTAAAAGAAACTTCCAGGTGTGGCAAAATGGCTCAGAAGGCAAAAGGATTGGTCACACAGAGCTGACAACCAGTTTCAGGAGAGAACTGACTCCCAAAAGCTGTCCACTGACCTCCACATGCACACCTGTATTCACCTGCCTCCCCCTCCCACACACACACACCAGTAAATAAAAAATAAATAAAAATAAATTACATGAAAAAATTTAAGCTTCTAAACAAAAGAATGAGCAAAAGATAGGAAGAGGCATTTGACTAGAGGAAATATAAGTGACCAATAAAAACGTAAGGTCTTCAGCCTACCTAATAAGGAAATGCAAATGAAATCAAGGACCTGCTCTTTTACATTGGCAATAGGCAGAGCGCGTGAGGCACAGACTTTCATGCTCTGCTATAGGGTAGTCCTTACTAAAACCGTGTTAGAGGGTAACTCAGCAGAATGGAATGAAACGTAATACACAAATCCTTTGATCTTACCTTTGCGCCTTTCCAGTAGGGAGTAATTCCACTTGAGTCATAATACGTTTTTATTTAAATTTTGACTTCATTGAAAACCGCTGTTCTCTATTATCAAGACTGTTTGTTTTTTTGCTGTGGGATTTCTCTGTGTAGCCCTGGCTGTCCTGGAACTCGCTCTGTAGACCAGGCTGGCCTCGAACTCACAGAAATTCCCCTGCCTCTGCCTCTTGAGTGCTGGGATTAAAGGCATGCACCACCACCACCCAGTATCAAGATACTTTTTAATTAGAAAACTAACTAGTAATATAGATAGAAGAAAAGATTGGCAGCAGTTTGAGCCAACCGGACTTACTTAGCTAAAGCCTGAGCTGTACAACAGAAAAGGAGTACACTGAGGTGGTAGGCTTGACACAGGATCTGAGGATAGCACAGAGTCTAGCTGTTGGGGTATAACCCATTGCAAGGGAATTCCAAGAGTCCAGAGCTGATTATAGCACCTGTCCTACTACTCCCAGTATAAGCTGGTATGTATGGACCTCTGTCATTCCCTGGAGTGCATCTTGAAACAGGGGTAGTCTTGTTCTTTGTTGTCCTCCACACCTATGACCCATAGTACCTTGTATAGCAAAGGTGTCCCAGGTGATTGTTTATAAGCATGGGTTTACATCAGGACTAAAATAATTGTCATTTCTTCATGAACCACCTTTAAACTCTAAGGATTGGACCCATGATACAGGTCTTGTAGGGTGGGTTTGTTTGTTTGTTTGGTTGGTCGGTTGGTTTGGTTTTGGTTTCAATTTCCTGGTAGGCAGTACCCAGCATCCCCTCTGACATTCACCCATTTCTTTGCCTCTTTTTAGATGGCCATGCTGCTGAAACTTCAAGAGGCTGCCAACTATATTGAGTCACCAGACCGAGAGACTATCCTGGACCCCAACCTCCAGGCCACACTCTGAGGGCCCAGCAGTCACTGTCACCCTGGACAGCAGAAGGCTGGCTTCAGCTTCATTAGTCTCCTCTCCCCTCTTCTTTTGGAGCTCTGGCTCACCGGCCTCACCAGGAAGAAGAGGGCAAGAGGAGGGATGGGTTCTTGGTGCTGAACCTTTGAGAACTTCCTAGTAGGGATTAGAGGGGTGCAGTTTGGGAACTCGTGCCCCCTAAATACATTTACTGGCCTCCTCTCATAACTTTGGAGAAAAGATGATTCTGGATCTTTTCTTCAATTTTTTGTTTCAGCTACAAACTCCTGGGCTTTCTGGGGAGGGATTCAGAGAATATCACAAAAACTGCAGCAGTTGCTAGCTGGTTCTCACAAACACTTCTGAGATAGTCGCCTACAGGGAAATCTAGGGGAGGCAGGAAACTCCACAGATTTTCTTGCAAACCCTTCCTAATTCTATCACCACTGCCAACAGCCATCCCCCCAGAGATCTGGCTAGAGCCCAGAAAGAGAAGCATGTGGTTTAACAAAAAAAACAAACAAACAAAAAAATGTGTAAATCAACCTATAAGAAGTCAAAAGGCGATGGAAAAGATGAAGCTGGAGAGAGGGGACCCAGTTGCCAAGATGGAAAGAGAGCTGCTGGATCTTGCCTTCTGGGTGACAATAGGGGACATTGACAAGATGACTTGCAATCTAAGATGTCACCAAACTACAAAAATAACATCACAGCCTTCAGAGAGACTATGAGCTGCCTTTCTGCCCTCTAACTGAACATGCATGAAAGTCAATAAACCCTACTTTTTTAATTTTTAATTTTTAATTTTATTTCTATTTTTTTCCTCCCATTTGCCTATTTATTTGCCCCTTCTCCCCAATTTTCTCACATGTCAATGAGATACTTGGGTTTCCTTCCAGGGGATAGTTTTGCTTTCCATGTGGGTTTTCTTTGGAGAATTGAATTCCATACTATTGGTATAAGTTAGATGCCTGCCATGCCACTATCTCTGGCATCCTTGGGGCTTATATGCGACAAGAAACATTGGCTCAGAATGGTAGGAGAAAAAGAACCCAGTTTCTTTGACTTTCCTTTTGAGCAAGTACATGTTCTACCTGGAAGCTCAACTGCCACACTCTGGCATGATAGATTTACCCTGAGCTTCATCGTGGACTGGAGGAAAACCAAAATACTGGAAACACCCACCTGTCTTATGGCCTGATTGGCCCCTCACTGCACTATTTGGATGGTAGCCACTTTGCCTGACTGAATCAAAATTCCCTAGCTAGCCCTTACTATTTGTTTTTTGACAGGTGAACAGTCAACATATAAGAAACTGATCATGTGAACTTCATATCAGAATAGAAGGCTCAAGGAGTTGGACTCGGTGGCCAATATTTGCCTTCCAAAAAGGTCCACCTCTAGCAGAAGTTGCCCTCTTCACAGTTCTGTAACCCACATTCCTTCCTTTGACAAGCACTTATGAGTACTTAACTGTATACCAGTCACTATGTTTAAGAAAAGACAAGACTTGGTCCTTAAGTTCATAGTCTAGGGGGGGATGTTAATCTCCATTAAGTACCCCCCCTTATCTGGACCTTGAAAATCATCTGAGAGACAGGCGAACCCCAAGGAGTCAGTTAAAAGAAGCCTTTGATTACAGGTCCAGTCTGTTGTGGGCAGAAGATCAAGGATCAATTAAGATGGAGCCTGAAGAACTATGGAATCTTGCTTGTCTAGAGTGGGAAAATCTACTTCTGTCATTTTGGAAACCGAATAGAACCAGATTCCAGGCTGAGCTGCCTTATGGTCTAATATGTCAGCACTCTGCAGTTCAGGGATATATACCAGGAGCCTGGACCTAAGAGTTTGTTCTTCAGAGTCCTAAGTAGCACAAGACTTATCAGGATATCAGGATCTTTACCAAGATTCTATAACTTGGGCCATTATTCCACCCAACCTAGGAGTCGCACGACTCTTAACAGTATATTTTCACTTAGGTCCTCAAGATGGTCTAGCTTGTCCCTTTTCCCCCCCTCTTCCCCCACAAAAGCTTCTATATTCACCTGGTAGTCCCAGGGATGGCAGGGTCCTCTATTCTGGAGACTATTATTGCTGTTGCTGCTAATTCCGTGAGCTGTGAAGATCCCTAACCAACTCAGCTGCAAAATATGCAATTCTGTATTGGGAAGAGGCTGTTTGTCCAAGGATGGTGCTGAAATCACTGCCTTAAGGTCTCTGCTGTGCAGAATGAGAAGGCCCCAGAGCTGGGTGTTCCAACTTAGAAGGAAGGGGAGACTGGATAGGCCTACTTTGGACATAGGTCTCTTCTGAACCCTAGCCAAAGCTCCAGTGCCATGGCAAGGCTCAGACTTTCGCTGACATCCTCATGCTTGAGCCCTTCATTCTCTTTTCTGGTGCTGCTCAGCCAGTGCCTTCTGAAATGGATGTTACTGGCTACTTTAAAAAGAAGGGAAGTAGGAAATGCCTTCTTCCATTCCAGCTGCCTCAGACTGCAGAGGGATTGTCTCTGTGATAACCATGGAAACCATCGTGAATTTTATTTGGGTCTGCAGCAAGTTGACTCTGGAGGCCTCTCATACTATAACTTCGTTTCTATTCCTGGAATCCACCACCACCTTCTCTCTCAGTTGACTGCTGCATTTAGTTCAGGCCTCCAATGGCTGTTCTCCAGGAAGTATGTTCCCATCTAGTGAAGTGCTCTTGAAGCCTCTACATTCCTTCTGGAGACTGGGACCCTGTTTACAGTTGCACATCTGGGCCCCTCACAGTAGGATCAACCATCTCATAAAGGGATCATGGTTCTGTGGCAGTTGCGGAAGGTTGAGCCTCCTCATGGTGCTAATAACCCCTTGGGATGCTCATCCAGACTTCTAAGAAGCAAAAAGCCTGAGCACCCGCTCACTGCCCAAGAATTCCTGGCAAAGAGCAAACCCACAGCATTCTTTCCAACCTACACACTTGCTTCTTGGTTGAGACTACTGGGACTCCTCAGAAAGGGAAAACTAGGACCCACAGCTAAATTCTCAATCTCCAGGCACCTTCAGAAGAATGCAACCTATCTAATTCTGGAATTTGTGCTATCCCCTTTCCCTCTGACCCCCAGTTCCATCCCTCACCAAAGTTGGCTAGTGAAGGACATCAACCTTTGGAGGGCCTCTGTCCAGGAGAGAGGCTAACTAGAACCCCACGAGTTTGGGGATGAAGACCAATACGTTGTGTTCAATGTGTTCGTTTCTCAGTCCCTACCTAGGCACTAAAATAAAATACTAGGTATTGGAGGCTGCTATGGGACCTGATGTCTGTGTATCTCTCTATTCTATCTTCTGGGGCTTTGTGGAACATTATTATTTTTGATATCTGCTTTCTGGTAACTCTTTGGTGCTTATTTCTGTCTCTGTAAATCCTTACTCCGATGTCTTTTGTGTAGTCTAATCACTTGGAAGGTAGAGGCTGGCAGGGAAGAACAATGAGAAAAAAGACCATGGGAAGATCCTACAAGAAAGGCTTTATTGGTTGGTAAACATTTGGGTCTTGACTTACCAACTTTCTAACTAGTCTGTCCATATGATGGGCATAAAACAAAATAATGATTTTCTTTCTCCCCTTTTCATTTTTTTTTTTTTTTTTTTTTGTCTTCTGGCTTTTCTAGTTTAAGTGGATTTAACCTACCCATCTCCTTACTTGTAGCTCTCAAAGACCAGCCACGCTATTCAGAGGGATACCGTCCCCTTCCGGTACTCTGAAGATGAACTCTGTTTCCTGTCAGATTCCAGAAAAGTAGGGAAAGAAGTGGTAGGTTTTCACAGCACCTCCCACCATCACCCCAGATGGAAGCCATTCTTGGCACCCAGCATGTGCACAGGTCACACTTGCCTGATCAAATGGACTTGGTCTTATAAACCAGGATCCAAAATACATTCATGATTTTTTTTTTTAATGACAAAATGGTTTGGGAGAGGAAGTTGTGCTAATCACAAATCTAATACAGGGTTCGAGTGCTGAAGTGACTCAGATGGTCAGATCCAGCTCCTTATCACACTTTACCTTTCTTTCCATAGTCCTGGGCATTAGCTAAACTGAAGCTAGTGAATGGATTCCATGAGCCAACCCCCATGGTAAGAAGAAAAATGGCTGTTGCAGCAGGTTGGGTAATCGAGATGGATAAGATGCCTATACCAACAGTCATCAGTACCATTTTTTTCCTTCCAGTATTGAGTATCAAACCTAGGGTCTCTCATATACTCAACAAGTACTTTATCACTATAGGTCCAACCCTCACTTTTTTTTTTTTTTAAGACAGTTTCACTAAGTTGCCCATAATGGCCCTGAATTCACTAAGTATTCTAGGCAAGCTTTGAATTTTATAATA